ATAGGCTAAGGAGGCTGCACTTAACGCAAATTCATAAAACCAATGTAACTGTTATTCTATATTTGTTCTAAAATGCAAATCCGACTTGTTGGACAAGGGTACAGTCTACTTATCCGTTCCGTTCTTGTCTGAAAGTATGCAGGAGATCAGGTATCCTGATTACTAGTCGGAGCAGTCAAAATGTTGCGGATGTCTTGTGATTCGGCTTTCCTTTTCTTTGCTTTTTTTTGGTTACGATTCAGCTTTCCAAAACAACTTAACTCTTGTCCCCTCTCCTCTGAGCAGGAGGTGAACATACTCATCTCGTTTTCTCTCCTTCTCATCCCTGAATCCATCTCCATACAGTGTGTCACCACTGTCATTATCATTTTTGTATGAGTTAATCTGCGTTGTGCTTGGCCCAGACAAGAGAGTAAACCAGAAAGGTGGAGAGAGAGAGAGAGGGGAGAGAGAGAGAGAGAGAGAGAGAGAGAGAGAGAAGGTGAACTATAGAGAAAGAGAGTGGGGGAGAGGACAGCCTAGTCCAAAACACAACCCCAACCCCACACCCAACCGTTTAAAATATATACATGTATACAAGTCGGGGCATTTATGAGAACAAATTTGGAACATTTGACAACTTTCTAAGAGCCTAAACAGCTGACTAGGTAGCTGGAAAAAATTGTTTCCCAGGAACACTTTCCAAATAGATTTTTGCTTTTGTCGCTCGAATAAGCCTAAATGGTTTGATTTTGAATTCTTTTACTAGCCATAGACTGATTTTTCTCAAAATATTATATTGAACTGAGGTGAATATATGCTTCTCTCTAACGCCTTATCTGCTCCCCAAACCCAAACAATCGAGTTGCCATTTACAGCACAAAACCAGTTTCCGCATGGGAATTGTATGGTATTCGCTAAGAGACAATAATCTGAAATTAAACTTAGAGTAAAATCTATTACTTAACCTAGATAGCTGAATGAACAAAATTAAATCTCATTTCTCCCGCGGCTCATGTTCAACAACTCCTAATCCTGGACACTGATTCAGTTAAGTATCTATGACTGTGTGTGATGTAGTCTACACTGATTCAGTATCTGTTACTGTCTGCAATATCGTCAACACTGATTCAGTATCTGTTACCGTCTGCGATGCCGTGGACACTGATTCAGTATCTGTGACTGGCTACGATGCTCCAGACAACCGCAACACGGCGTTAAGTCGCACAACTTGACGGATCGATAGATACATAACAACAACGTTTAACTACTCTGTCAATGTAGTTTGTGGACACACAACGCGTTCAGTCATACACACGTAATGCCTAAAGCAGGGTAATTAGAACGACTTGTTATCACCAACATAGTGATGTCTGGCTTGTTTTATAGATCCGTTCACCTCTAAAGCTCTAATTGGATTTCGAGCAAATAATTCTGTTTAGTGAGCGTGCATTGATAAAGCTTATTGCTTCCGTTTATTATCGTCCCCTGAACTCCCCCCATCCCCTCCCCCGGAACACGCAACCAAAGATCCTTCACTATAGAAGCTTTGCCGCAGCTAGAAACGTAGGTCTGTCATGACTAGCTTAGTTGAACGATGTTACAGTTTTTGAAGGATCAAATTTATTGTTAAGTTAATTTTTTTCATGGCATGCGAGCATTCATAAACTACTCTTTTTTATGTGATTTCTTCAAAAGTATATGTCCTGCTTTAGGCCATCCACTTCTTTCGGTGTATTCTAGCGCCTAATCTTTTGTCGCCGTCCATATTGGAAAAATGATTCGCCTGCAAGTCAGAAGCCATACTTGCAGCACATGACAGGTTTCAGCTTGGAATTTTACGTAGTGCGCTGCGAGCATGTTTCAAATAGAGTTAGAACATTTAGTTGCCTTCAACATTTACAAAGCTAATTTGTTTGTGAATTTGCCCTGATTCATGTTTGGCAGACCGAGAGAGAAGGGGACTGCCAATGGCATAGTATGTGCACTTGACGGAGACTATTGAACGTGTTTGATATGATTGATAAAGGTGGGCGAGATCAGGTGGTTGGCTGGACTACAACATGCTGGCTAATGTGATACAAGTTCTCAGGCGCTTGATTTTCGAGAGAACATAACGCATTATATTCACAAATATTGACACGCTCATTTTGCTTACAATACTCTGATCTCAGTAAGATAACACCTAGAGCGAGGTCTAAACAATGGCACTGCACAAACTTTGTCGTATATTTTGAGATTGACAGAATGGGCGAGAGGAAGATAGACTCACACCATTAATAACGCTATTCTTCAGCGTGGTGCGTATTTATCGACGGGAAAAGTGAAATCATATTAACTGAACAAAAACACAAGTGCGCCTTTTCTTGATTCTTCTACTCCAAACACGTAAACAAAGAAGATCAACCACGGCTGGACAAAAAAAAAAGATGTGAAAGGCCCCACACTCATATACAATGTTATCTAAAATAATACCGGCAAGGGACAAATCTGCCCCCTCCCCCCACCCACCCTTTTTTCCTGATTCACTTCTGTTTCTATTTTGGACATCAACAAATCGTTTTGGCATACCACGATTTTTCAACTATTGAACTATAGCGCCTTACCAGAGACGTTACCATAGCATGAAAGATAAAAACGCAAAAAATAATGAACAAGGATAGTGATTTTAATCCATGCAACTATAAGCTGCATGGTATATATCCATAAGCCTTTGCATAATTGTCTTTTGTCTTGACGCTGGGGTACGGTTTTGTACATGTACGCGTTTGTGTATAGATAGATAGATAGATAGACAGACAGACAGATAGATAGATAGATAGATAGATAGATAGATAGATAGACAGATAGATAGATAGATA